TGAGAGAGAGAGAGAGACAGCATGAGCAGGGGAGGGTCAGAGAGAGAGGGAGTCACAGACTCTGAAACAGGCTCCAGGCTCTGAGCTGGCAGTCAGCACAGAGCCCGACGCGGGGCTCGAACCCACGAACCGCGAGATCATGACCTAGGCGAAAGTCAGACGCTTAACTGACTAAGCCACCCAGGCGCCCCTCTTCTAGGTGCTTCTGATACAGGAGCGTATAACAGTCCGTGAAATGGTTCTCTTTTAATCTATATTTTATTGAGAAACTGAGGCTCAGAGAGGTTAAGTAACTGGCAGACCACACAGCTAATAAGTTGCTCTCCATGTAGTCAAAGGTTGGTCTTTATGTATTAAACTTTGCTTGAGAATATTCGGTATAAACACTATGTGCATGGTCGTCCCTTAATTACTTATTGTTGAATCGAATTATCTGTTTTACAAACTTTCCAACTGAAGAGAATGTACATGCTATGGAATTTATCCTCCTAAATCCGAACTGTAGCCTATTTGGAATTAAGTCTGTTTACACATTTGAGTCGAACGTTCTTTCTCCTAGCAGATGTTCACCAGCTGCTTCCTCTCCTAGAATGTCATCAGCTTTCTGCACACTCACCGATTTTGAGCTCTGCTGGTTAAATCCCCCTCCCCCCTCTTGTCTCTCCCTCTTTCTGCAAGCCTTTTTGAGGAATTCTTTTGCCTGGTTGTCCTAGTTACAAGGGGGAAGTAGACTGGGACGCGAGCTGGTGCCATCACATGGGGGCTGCGGTCAGAGGTAACTCATGACCGAATCACAAAGCGAGGAATGACTCGTCTTTAACTACCCTCCTTCTCCACCCACTCTCTGCCCTTGTTTTCCTTCTCTTGCAGAGGTATCTGAGCAGCCCATAAACTATGCAAGGGAATTCACATTTGAACAAGAGCCCAGAACCTTCCATTTACACCGTGATGTGCTGACGCTTGGAATGCATATGTATCTGGGAGATGGCCGCGGCGGGGAGGCAGACATGATCCCACAACCCCATCCCACAAGTGGCAGCTGACACTTGTGATTCCCCAGCGGGTTTCTGATTCCCAAGTGGCCTTTTCTCTGCCCCGGAAGAAGTATCGATAGGGTGACTTTCCATCATTCAGCTGGCCTTCCAGCTCCTTGCAATTGCTGCTAGGAACCAGTCAGTGAATAGTCATAAGTCATAGTTCTGTGTTCTGGTCTTTGTCTCCTGTTTAAACATCCCTTTGATAGAAGTTGAGTGTTTCTTCCAGTTTGATTGTGGGATAATTGACAAGTAAAAACTATATATTCAGATTGTACAGTCTGTTTATTTCCAAGGCGTACAACGTGATGATGTAATATACGTGTATCTTGTGAAGTGATTATCACAATCAAGTTAATTGACATATCTGTCACTTCACACAGTTACCTTCTTTTAAATGTTTATTTATCTTGAGAGAGAGAGAGCAAGCATGAGTGCATGCGTGAGCAAGGGAGAGGTTGAGACAGAGAGAGAGAGAGAGAGAATCCCAAGCAGGCTCCGTGCTCAGCGTGGATCCCGACGAGGCACTCAGTCTTGTGACCATGAGATCACGACCTGAGCCAAAATCAAGAGTCGGACGCTTAACCAACCGAGCTACCCAGGCACTCCCACGGTTACCTTTTTTTAAATAGAACGCTTAAGATCTACTGTCTTAGCAAATTTCAAGTATTCGATACGATATTGTTAACTTCAATCACCATGCTGTACAATCGAGCCTCAGAACTTAAAACTCAAAGCTTGTCCCCTTTGATCAACATCTCTCCATCTCCCTCCCCCCATCCCTCAGCCCCTTCTGTCACCGTTCCATTTTTTGCCTCTATGAACTCAACTTTTTTAGATTCCACATATAAGTGAGGTCGTATGGTATTTGTCTTTCTCTGACGTAGCTCACTTCGCATAGTGCCCCCCCGAGTTTCATCCATGATACTGCTTCATATACACATACCACATCTTCTTCATTCGTCTACAGATGGACACTTCCCATGTCTTGACTCTTGTAAATAATGCTGCAGTAAACATAAGGGTGTGTGTATCCCTTTGAACTAGTGTTTTTGTTCTTTTTGGGTAGTGGGATTACTGGATCCTAGGGTAGTTCTGTTTTTAAGCTTTTGAGGAACCTCCATACCATTTTCCACAGTGGCTACATCGGTTTGCATTCCCACCAGCAGTGCATGAAGGCTCCCCTTTCTCCACATCCTCACCAACATTTGGTATTTCTTTATGAAATACCATTCTAACGGGTATAAGATGATGCCTCGTCGTGGTTTTGATTTTCATTTCCCTGATGATTAGTGACATTGAACATCTTTTCATGTAACCTGTTGGCCAGAAGTAGACTTATTTAGACTAAGTGGCAGATTTTCAGTGTTGAGTTTTTTACTCCAGTTTTGAAATATTTGCATTTTAGGAACTATCTGTCTATGTCAGACAGCAAGTAACTTAAATTGTGTGAAAGAGAATTTTGCATTATACTTTCTTTTCTCTAACTCAGTCGTTTTTGATATCTTATACTCTCAACAAAGGAGACTGGTTTTTTTTTAACTTTTAATTGATGTAGAGTATCCTATAGAAAAATTGCACAAGTTGTTATGCATAGCTCAATGAGGTTTTTTTTTTTTAAATTTTTCTAATGTCTTTTATTTTCAGAGAGAGATGGAGAGTGAGCGGGGGAGGGTCAGAGAGAGAGGGAGACAACAGAATCCGAAGCAGGCTCCAAGCTCTGAGCTGTTAGCGCGGAACCCGACATGGGGCTCGAACCCACAGACTGAGATCATGACCTGAGCTGAAATCAAGGGTTGGACACTTAACTGACTGAGCCCCCCAGGCAGCCCTGATGCTTCTTTTAAAGCTGTGCATGAACGCATTCTACAGATTTGCTTCTTGTGGGCGTCTGCCTGCCTTCTCCCGACATTACGTTTAGGAGAGCTGCAGGCGTTGTTGCCTGTACTTGTCAATGTTTCGTTCGCACTGCATTTGTTCCGTCGTGTCGGTATTATCACAGTTGATTTGTCCATCCTCCCTTTGTTGGACACTTGGACAGTTTCCGGTTTGGAGTATTATGAGTAGAGTTTTTACGAATAGTCGCGTACTTATCTCTTGGTGTACACGTGCATATGTTTCCGTTGGGCCTGTATGGGTCAGAGGGTTATGTATGATGGTCTCTAAGAGATAATAAGACTTTTCCCAAATGGTCGTGCCCATTTACACTGTGCAAGAGCAGAAGCTGAAAGTGCTAGATGCTTCCCCTCCTTGTCAACACTTGGTATTGTCTGATAGGTGTGTGTGTTGTTACCTTGTGGATTTAATATTTATTTCCCTGATGACTCATGAAGTTGAGCACTTTTGCACATGTTCGTTAGCAATTTGAATACCCTCTTGTCAAATGCCTCTCAAATCTTTTGCCAGTTTTTCTGTTGGGTTGTCTGTCTTTTCCTTATTAGATGGTTGGCTATATGTATGTGTGTGGGGGCGTATTACATATAAATATAAGTATATATTATAAATTGGTGTGTATGCAAGTTCTTTGCACAAAATTGCACGTATCTTCTCTCACTCAATGCATTACTTTTTAAATTTCCTTAATAGGGTATCTTTTGATGAACAGAAGATGTTTTTAATTTTAATACAGATGACTTTATAACAATTTTTCCTTTAAGGTTACTATTTTGTGGGGTTTTTTTTTTTTTTAAGAGATCTTTTCCTGCTTCAAGGCTGTGGAGACATTCTATGTTTCCTTCTGAAATCTTGCTGTATTTATATATTTGTTCAGTTTATTTTAACTTTCACATTTACATCTGCAGTCCGTCTGGAATTGACTTTATAAATAGTGTGAGGTAGGGGTCAATATCCCCCCTCCCCACGTATGGGTATATAATTGACCCAGCACCTCTTATTAAAAAACGAAACAAAACAAAAACTAAGCTTTCACTTCACCTAGTCTTCTTTTGAGGGGGATAAAGGGAAACCTTTTTAGAAATGGTTAAATGATACGATGTAGTCCTTTAAATCTTTTGAATTCATTTGTTTTTTTATATCTTCAAGGTTGAAGAGGCCAAATGTCAGAATTCAGAATTTGAGGGAAACCTGGAGGTCAGTACATTCAACTTTAGTTATTTGGGCTTAAAGTCACAGAGTGATTGGGGGTGGGGCTGGGTGACCGTAGCCTCAATTTGAACTGCTCTGAGCAGAAGAGACACCTTCGGTTTGTGGGTTATTGCCAGTTTTCGCCCGAGGAGTTAAAGTCAGACTGTGGGGGCTGCCACCCAAGTCTTCATCACATGCAGAAATCGGCAGATAATTCTACTTTCCTGGGATTCAGAAGCAGAGAAAGAGAATCACCTGGTAACATTCCTTGTGTGTGTTTGTCTCACCTCTAAGGGCACAATTTGCTTCATGGTCCCCGGTGTACTCCCCGACACTCTGAACACAGTGCGGATCCGGGTGAGGACGAACAAGCTATGCTATGAGGACGACAGGCTGTGGAGTAACTGGAGCCAGGCGATGAGCATAGGTGAGTGGACAGGCCCTTGCGCCACCTGAAACCAGCAATGGGCGCAGACTGAGCTGGAGCAGAAGATGGGTGGGGGGAAGGGCTGCACCATGCTCCCGAGGTCCTCCAGAGAGTACTCTGCGTTTTCTGTTTAATTACGGCCAGATCGCCCAGGTTTAACTTATAATGCGCTAGAGGACTATCCTACGGGCTGGCGACAGAATCAAGAGTAGAACAATGACCTTGATGGCATTGGATAGAGATCAAACTGTTTCCAGGTTTGAAGACAACAGTTTCATGTATTAACGGAGTGCCTGAGCAAACTGGGGGTCAGGCCCAAGAACGGGATCGGAAAGAGCTGTGCTTTTTTAAAAATTTTTTTAATGTTTATTTATTCTTTGGGAGAAAGAGACAGAGCACGAGAAGGGGAGAGACTGAGAGAGAGGGAGACACAGAATCCGAAGCAGGCTCCGGGCTCTGAGCGGTCAGCACGGAGCCCGACGCGGGGCCCAAACCCACGAACCGTGAGGTCATGACCTGAGCCGAAGTCGGATGCTTAACCGACTGAGCCACCCAGGCGCCCCTGGAAAGAGCTACGCTTCACCAGTGTGCGTGTGTCATGGGGTGGAGTACAGGAGGGATTCAGCATTGGGTCCTTAAATATCCCCCAGTGTGCAGCCACAGGCCCCAGTGATAGTGCGGCACTCGGAACGAGGGGACGCTATAGGGACGCTATAGGGGCACGGCGTCTTGACCACATCAGAAGCGTGCAGTGTTCTACTCTGGGCACCATGTTGTAGGAGGTTCGTTGGCAGACTGGAATCTATCCTTGAAAGGGTTGTTGGGATGTTGAAGCATCACAAAGCTTCAGGAAAAGTGGTTGGATGAAGCAAGCTTGGGGGTGAGGCATCCTGATTGCTGAATTTTAATATCTGGGCTATTGTGAAGTAGAAGGAGGATAGGTGATTTTCTTTTGTGGCTCCCTAGGACCAACGGAAGAACTTTCTAATAGCTCTCTGACAGTCAGAGAGACAGGTTATTAAGGTAGTCAGTTCCCCATTAATTGAAGGAATGAACAAGCTATGTGCCAGGCATGGTCATATAACCATTATTGTATAACAAAGAACCTCAAAGTTTGGTGGCTTAGAAAACACATTTAGCATCTCACAGTTTCTGTGGGTCCAGAATCTGGGCACAGCTTGGCGTAGTACCTCTGGCTCAAGTTCTCCCATGAGGTTACAGTCGAGCTGTTGCCTGGGACTGCAGTCTCATCTGAATGCTTGACTGGGCCCAGGGAACCCACTCCCAAGCTCACTTATGCGGTCATCGGAAAGCCTCCGTTCCTTGCTGGCTGTTGGATGAAGGCTGTAGCAATTTGAGTCGTATCCCTCAAAACGATACATTCAGGTCCCAACTCCTATACCTGTGATTATGACTTTATTTAGAAGTAGTTTTTGCAGATGTGATCGAGTAAAGATGAGGCCACACCATTTTAGAGCTGGCCCTGCATCTGAGGACTAGTATCATTGTGAGAGGATACACAGAAACACCAGGAGACCCCCAGGGAAGAAGGCCCCGTGAGGATGGAGGCAGCCAATGAGCGATGCAGGCGCTACCAAGGGACCCCAAGGGTTCCTGGGAGCCACCAGAAGCTAGGACGAGGCAAGGGGGGATTCTCCTCTAGGGCCTTCAGAGGGCGCACGTCCCTGCAGATACCTTGCTTTTGGACGTTCGGCCTCCAGAACTGTGAGAGAACACGGGTCTATTGTTTTAAGCCAACCGATGTGTGGCGATCTGCTGTGGCAGTTGTAGCGAGCCAGTGCAGAGGCGTCCCTCAGTTTCTTGCCACTTGGGCCTCCCCGTTTCATGCCTCATGAAACGGCACCTGGCTTGCTCAAGCAGGTGACCCAAGCAAGAGTGCGTGAGAGGACACCCGGTGTAGAAACCACAGACTTTTGTAACCGAGCCTTGGAAATGAAACCGACGTTGCTGTTCAGTTCTTTCCAGACAAGTCAGGGAGTCCAGCCCACCCTCGAGGGGGAGGAGATTGCCTGAGGGAGTGACTGTCAGGAGGCAGAGATCATTTGGGGTCACCTTGGAGGCTAACACAGGGATGCTAGGCCCCGATGATGCTTCCTAGACGGCCGTGCCTTAGTGGAAAAGATGAGCATGTAAGTAGATGGGACAGTCTGTGTATGAAGTGTAAGCAAGTCAACTTTTCAAGTTCTTGAGAAGCTTAGGACCTGGACAGTGCTGGATTTGACACTTGACGTACTAAACCCTTCTGAACGAGCCACTAGCCCTCTCTGAGCCTTATCCTTCTCATCTGTAGAAACGGGAGACACCATTACCTCTCTCTGTAGCATAGATAGAAACACATACAGGCGCTCCGGATGGTATCGCACATATAGTGAATGCTCAGTGAAGAATAGCAGGAGTGGTAGTTAGGATTGTCGTAGGTATTCTAGTGGTGGTGAAGTCACCTGCAAGAAAAGATAGTCACTGTTAATGACATCATCTTTCTAACAGGGATGACATCACTGTGAACAGTGTCTGGAACCAGTTAAGGTCTCCTGGTTTCAGACTGCCCTCAAGGTGTCTCTTCAGCCATGGCATTTTGGGCACTAGAGGAGGACCTTGTTTTTCACTGGGAAGGGAGTGGAAGGTGAGATCATTGAAGAGTTTTGGGGGCGCCTGGGTGGCTCAGTCGGTTAAGCGTCTGACTTCAGCTCAGGTCATGATCTCACGGTTTGGGGGTTCGAGCCCTGTGTCAGGCTCTGTGCTGACAGCTCAGAGCCTGGAGCCTGCTTCAGATTCTGTCTCCCTCTCTCTCTGCCCCTCCCCTGCTTGCACTCTGTCAGTCTGTCTCTCTCTCTCTCTCTCTCTCTGTCAGAATTAAACAGACATTAAGAAAAAAGAAAAAAAGAGTTGAAGAGTTTTGCAAAGCAGGTTGGGGGAGAGTGCAGAGATACCGGCGACCTCACTAGTTTGATCCAGCCGTTGCTTGTTTTTGTTTTTTTCCCTAAAAGGGTTTGATTTGTCTTTTTTGCTTTCCGTTTGCCAGGTGAAAACACCGACCCCACGTTCTACATAACCATGCTGCTCGCCACCCCGGTCATCGTCGCCGGTGCCGTCATAGTCCTCCTGCTTTATCTCAAAAGGTGAGGCGGCTGCCCTGGTGGGCCTGGCGGTTTCTGCCGGCCCGGCCGCTCCAGTTACCGCTGTTCACGAGGGCATTTGGTGTCTGCCACCACGTATTGGGAGCACTTTGCCTATAAATGGCTTTTGGTCGTACGGCACGGCACGGAAGGATCACCGTGCCCATTTCCTGGTGAGGAAAGTGTTGCGTTCCTTTCCCACGGCCCTGCTCGGGCGCTGTCCCCTTTGCATGTGTTTAGAATGATCTACGGGCCCCATGTTCACTGTCCCCTTTCCAAGGCCTACTACAGCCACGGGTGGCAGCGCTTGGACTGAAGTCTTAGCACTGCTACTCTGAAGCTGCGGGAAAGAAGCTCACCAAGTTGTCTCTGAGAGACGGTACTCGGGGTGCGCAAGGGGAGAGCGACAGGAGACGAGGCCGGCAGAGCCACGAGGCAGGGAATTGAGGTTTCGTCCGGAGCATGAGGGGGAATCACTGCAGAGTTTGGGGCGGGGAAAAGAACTCGGCCTGATTTTTAAGGGTCACCATAATTGCTGAATGAGGAACCGGCTCGGGTGAGAATGGAAGCGGGCGGGCTAGTTAGGAGGTGCTGCAGCGCTGCGGGGGCAAGACGTGGGTAGCCCAGCCGAGGAGGTGAGCGATGGCGGCAGTGAGATGCGGTCCGAGGTGGGACGCGTTCGGAAGGGAGAGCTGAGGGCGCTTGCCGACGGCCGCTTGGCTGGGAGGTCTGAGGGGGACTGAGGGTTCGCGGAGAGCTCGGCTTTGGGGCGTCAGCAGTGGGGTGAACGCTGGAGCCATTTGCTGAGAGGGAGAAGATCGTGAGGAGCTGGCTCGAGGGCGAAAGGGAAGACTGTTTAGAACGTCAGTTCCAGATGACTGTTTGTTACCAAGTATTGTCACATGGGCAGTTGGGCGGTGACTCTGGAGTTTCAGGGAGAGGTCTGGGCCGGAGACAGAATTTTGGGAGCTCTCAGCATGTAATTGGACCCAGAGCCCTAAGACCAGAAGAGAGCCTCCGTACAGTGAGGGGGGCAGAGGGCGAGAGACGGAGCCCTGGGCCACACCGATATTCAGAGCCTGGGAGATGAGGTGGGGCCACCAAGGGGCGTAAAGATGGGGAGAGGAAAGAACAAAGTAAAATTAAAGAGAAATGAGCCCTGTTCTCAAAAGCTCTTTTTTTCTCGAAATTCTAAGCAGTGAGTCCCCAGGTGGCCTATGATGAGTAAAGCACCTTTATTATTTAATTATAGGGTGGTACGCACGCGCACACACACATAACCACATGAAGTGATGGATATGTTAATTTGCTTGAGGGCAGTCATCGTTTCATAGTGTATACATACACCAAAATATCGTGTTGTTCACCTCAAATATATACAGTGTTTTTCCTCGAGTGTATCTCAATGAAGCTGGAAAAGTGGTGGGTTTTTTTTTTTTTTAATTGTTTGGAGAGAGAGAGAGAGAGAGCGCATGCGCAAGCAGCCTCCGTGTTGACACGGCTCAGTCTCACGAGCCACAGGATCATGACCTGAGTCAAAGTCAAGGGTCAGACGCCTCACCCAATGAGCCACCCAGGCGCTCCAAGCTGGAAAACAGTTTTAAAAATGAAGAGTATGAGCAGCGTGTTTATGGCGATGGCCCCTTTGTTCCACCCGTCCTTGGTGCTATAAGGACACGTGTTTCTCTGCTTCTTCTAGAAATTTCTTCACAGCTACTTTATCACCAAAGATGACTCGTGTACCACGCGTTTTGTCCAAGCCTTCTTTCAAAGTGCCTTTATTTCAATGGGACGTTCCTGCGGACTGGAGGATTTGATAAAAAAAAAAATGTCTTTGTTTTCTTAAAGGCTCAAGATCATTATATTCCCTCCAATTCCTGATCCTGGCAAGATTTTTAAAGAAATGTTTGGAGACCAGAACGAGGATAGCCTGGTAAGCACAGATTCCGTGAAGTTGGAAATTGGGCTTTGTTTGGAGGCAATGGGATTTGTAAAACACAACATAGAATTTGCCATTTTGACCCTTTCTAAGCATACAGCTCAGTGGCATTCAGCACATTCACAGTATTGTGCAATCATTATCGCTATTTCCGCAATGTTTTCATCATCCCAGATAGAAACTGTGCCCATTAAACACCACCTCCCCACTCCCCGCTCCCGCTGGCCACACCCCTTTTCTATTTTCTGTCTCCCATGAGTTTGCCTATTCTGGGCACCTCACGTAAGCAGAATCTCGCAATTTTTGTCCTTTCGTGTCTGGCTGCTTTCCCTTAGTGTGATGTGTTCAAGGTTCATCCATGTTGTAACATGTCAGAACTTTATTTCAAAGTTGGTCATTTGGGGGCGCCTGGGTGGCTCAGTCGGTTGCATCTGACTCTTGATTTCAGCTCAGGTCATGATCTCACAGGTCGTGAGATCAAGTCCCACATTGGGTTCCTTCTCCCTCTGCCTCTCCCCCGCTTGCACACACTCTCTTGCCATCTCTCTCTCTCTCTAAAGGACAATGCAAAATAGATGGTATTAAACTACATTTTACCTAAAAGATTAAGGAGGAGGTGATTTATTTTATTTATTTATTTTTATTTATTTATTTCTGAGAGAGAGAGAGAGACAGCATGAGCAGGGGAGGGTCAGATAGAGAGGGAGATACAGAATCTAAAACAAGCTCCAGACTCTGAACTAGCTGTCAGCACAGAGCCTGACACGGGCTTGAACGCAGGGCTCGAACCCACGAACCGTGAGATCATGACCTGAGCCAAAGTCGGACACTTAACCGACTGAGCCACCCAGGCGCCCCAATTTAATTTGTTGATTTAAAATGTTGTATCTCAGGGGTGCCCGGCTGATTTAATTTGTGATTTAAAATGTTGTATCTCAGGGGTGCCCGGCTAGCTCAGTGTGTGGGGCATGGCCCTTCTTGATCTCAGGGTCATGAGTTTGAGCCCCACATGGGGCGTAGAGCCCACTTAAAATAAAAAATAAATGAAAAAAAAAATCTCGTATCTCAGACTAAGCACACCATTTGCGAAGCCCTCAGAACCCTTTGCCCATCTCATATCCCTGGGCTTCATGCTCCCTCTGGGGTAGGGAATCTGTTTAAGCCAGTCAGGGAGAGGAGCATCCCTGATGAGTCTAGTCCAAAGGGGAGGGCTTCTAACTCTTGGTGATTTGGGGAAATATAAAGATAGGGTAAATAATTGAAATAGATTTTTGTTCATGCTATTGCCTGGGAAGCTTGCCTCCAAAGACAGGACAAGCTCACCCCGCCCATTACAGTCAGTTTGCTGCAGGCTCTCAGGCTAGAATTTGTGGCCGGAAGACCAAAGACCTCAAGGGAACCCGAGTTTCAGGTTTCTCTGATAAGTACATGCACCCAAGTAAAATAATAAAGACACTAAATGGAATAAATATCAATATGATTACATGTATCTTAAATCAGTAATATCAGGCACAAGGGCGGTTGATTTAGTGAAGTAGTACCTCATAGCACATAATAGCCTGGGCTCTGGAGTCACATTGTCTGGTTTCAAATCTCATTTACCATCTGTGTGACCTTGGGCGACTTCCTTAACCTCCCTGCGCCCCAGTGTCCTCATTTGTAAAATGAGGGTAATGATAGCACCTGCCTCTTGGCTTTGCTCTGCGGAGTAGACTCATTTAATACCTACAGACTGCTTAGCATGCCTGGTACATTTATAAGTGCTTAGTAAGCGCCAGTGATTGGTATTACTGGGGATACTTTCCCTGTATTGTTAATCTCCAGACAAGCTTTTTTTTTTTTTTTTTAAGTAAGTTCTACACCCAACGTGGGGCTTAAACTCACAACCCCGAGAGCAGGAGTCACACGCTGTACCAACTGAGTCAGCCAGGCGCCCCTCCCCAAACGGTTCTTGTACTAACAAGTGCTTCGCAATAGCGGCAATGGTGTGCAGCTAGGGGAGGAAGGCAGGGAGGCGGATTTGCTTTCAGAGGAGGGTTCCTCCGGATCCGTTTTTCATCAAGTCATGGTTATACTGCCAGACCGTGGGGGTGGGGCGCTGTGAGGCGGGTAGGTCCGGAGGTCAACTGTAACTCCAGTGAATATGGCAACTGCTGGCTCTTCAACTTCAGCTGAGTCATAGCCAACTGGAATGTTTGTAAGAAGAGAGACCCCCGGGCCCTGCCTCCAGAAAGCCTGATTCAGGAGGCCTGGGATGGGTCCCGGGAACCTGCATAGGTCCCCAGATGATCCCTGTTCCGGCAAGAGAGTTTGTGGGGCACAGTTTGCAAAGCACTCTTATGGGATGCCTGGGGGGCTCAGTCAGTTGAGCATCTGACTCTTGGTTTAGGCTCAGGTTATGATCCCAGAGTCGTGGGATCAAGCCCCACGTCAGGCTCAGCACTGAGCGTGGAGCCTGCTTGGGATTCTCTCTCTCTCCCTCTGCTGCTCTCCCCCACTCGCGTGGCTGCTCGCTCACTTGCGCGCGCGCTCTCTCCCTCTCTCTCTCTCAAATAAAAAAAAAAAAAGGAAAGAAAAACACTGTTCTGGCTGTTTACCTTAGGATTACCCCATCTCTTTCTTCATCTCCCCAGCTCTCATGATGGCTGCTGGAGGTTGGGGACTGTGTGCAGGTACTTGAGCACCTCTAACCAGTCACTGAAAGGCTACTCCATTATATGGCGTATTTATAAGGTGCTTTGCTTCTATTCCCTTCTTGCGTGCTCCTAACCGTCCTTCGGTGTCGGTGCTGTGGGACCATGTTGTTTTTATTACACGTGAGGAAATGAAGCCTCAGCAAGGCTAAGTGAGTTTACTGCAGTCACACAGCTAGTGGGTAGTAAGGTGGGATGTGACCCAGAACTGTCTGATCCTGGAGTTCTCTCTCTCTCTCTTTCCGCTTTGCTGCATTGCCTCCTGTAACATAGAGTGTTTGTCCCTAAGAACCTCACTACCTTCTGAGAGTTCCATTTGATAGAGAGGGTTGGGGTAGGGGAGTTCTGAGCAAAAGGTTTGGAGTCACATTCTGGCTGGCCTTCTCTGGGAAGGTAAAAAGGAATATCACTTTGCCACCAATCTGAGGGGAACGGATTAGAGGGGGAGGCGTGGGAGCCAGCCGGGGACCCGGTCCTGACCTTGGCCACATACACGCTTTGTTTGGCCCTCGTGGCGTGTTTAAAATCTTGCCACGTGGCACAGCGCACACTCTGCCGGCTCACCTCCGGCCCTCTTGTTCCCGGCCCTCCCCCCTGCCCTGTGGTTTCACATGTTGAGCTAATGTGCCAGACCCCCGAAAGACCTTTGGGTCTGCTCTCCCTCTCAGCAGAGTGACAACGACTCAAAGGGCCCTGGCAGAAAGGCCCGGTGTCTGTGAAAACACATTTGGACACCTGGCAATATACAGGACATACAGCCAAAGCACTGATGCCGTTGATGACAGCCTGATAATACCCAGTGATGACAAGTGTGGGCGGGGGGGGAGGGGGAGGCGAGGGGACTGGCACTTCTCATGCCCCGCTGGTGGGCCCGGAGCACAGCATCTGTTCTTTGTGGAGGGTACCTTGGGAAGGTATACCAAGAATCTGCGATCTTACAGTTATACTTGTAGGATGAGGCAATAACCCAGCGATGGCATCAGGACGGTCAGTGCAGCATTTGGCTGTGGCACGGAGAATTGAGAGGCCCGGGAGACCTCCACCACAGAGCATTAGTGAAAAAGCAAGTTGGGATTTCAAAGCATTTCATGTCACAGCGAACCGCTCCTGGTACAAGAGTAAGAAACAGCAGAACTACATAGTACATTACCATCCTGACTTTGATAAAAACACACGAATATACACGTAGAACAATCAGTGGAAGGAAAGGAGTCAAAATGATCATCTCCGGGCAGAAGGACCGTGTGGATAATTGATGTTATTCTCTCTCCCTTTCTGAAGCTTCCGAATTGCCTATTACGAGCACGTCTCACTTTTGTAATAAAAAGGAGCCCTGTACAAGTTATTAGGGGAACAGGGAATATTTTGGTCATCCGGGTTTGAGAGATAATAGGGACTTGAACCTAGGCGGTAGCAGGGGAGATTGACGCAGGAGACATTATTAAAGGCAGCTTATTACAATGTGAGGACTCTGTGGGTGATGAAAAGTACAGAGAATAAAAATAATCTCAAGGTTTCAAGCCTGAGTGACAGAGTGAACGGCGGTAACATTGACAGCAAAATCAGATCAATTATCTGTCTCCGCGATGGGAAAATTGCTTTTTTTTTCAATTTGCTGTCTGGAGGATAATGTGTTATCCCGATGAGTCAGAATTCTATAATTTAGCGAGGCGGGTACGCTGACAAGATGGACCGCTAAAAGCATACGATGTTTTTGTTTGTGGTGGTTGTAGACCATTAAATAAAATCAGGGTTTAAAACTAAAAGTGTAATACAAATGCCAGACAGGGGAAAAGGGGAACAGAACAAATTTCCATGTTTTCTCGTTAAGCAAATGAATGATCTTTTCTCTGCACGGCGGCAAGCCTTATCAATTGAACCGCATATGCAGCAGAAAGACGAGCCTTTTGCTTCTAGAATTATCGAATTATAGAATGAACATGGCCCTAGAGGTCATCCAGTGAGGTGGGTGTTTTACATGTTGAGTTATTTATCTCTTTTTTTAATGCTTATTTATTTTTGAGAGAGAGAGAGAGAGACTGAGCCAGAGTGTGAGCAGGGGAGGGGAAGAGAGAGAGGGAGACACAGAATCTGAAGCAGGCCCCAGGCTCCGAGCTGTCAGCACAGAGCCCGATGTGAGACTTGAACTCCATCCTGAACCTCGAGGTCGTGACCTGAGCTGCAGTTGGACGCTTAACCAACTGAGCCACCCAGATGCCCCGAATTATTTGTTAATTTTTAAAACTCTTTGATACCAGTCCTACCCCCTCATTTTAGAGATGGGGACAGTGGGGGCCAGAG